TTTTTCCCCTTTCGCATCTGCTGGGGAATTTTTATTCCCCTTTATTTCCTTTCCCGTAAGGAATTGGAGGATTTTACCTGGCTGCAAAGCTGTTTTAGCGTTTGCGCATTTCCTTTCCTTTTCGGATGCACCCGCTTCTTGCAGGGTTGCTTGAGACGAAACCTGTTTCACTTTCCCACAAAGAACAATTTATTAGTTTTGAAAGCGATGGTTGGTTTTGTGGCTTTGATCATCTTCGTTGCTCGATCCCGGTCCTGTTTTCGCCGAGGATTCTGCTACTAATCGGCCTTGAAGGCATCTCCCTTTAGTCCGGCCAAACTCAGATTCACGGCCTCCTGATGACTTGCCCAGGCGTTCCTCTTTGAAGACTTCGCCTTTGGAGGTGATTGATCATTACGGTCAATCGGGATTGGAATCATGCACCGCTGAGGCTGGGCTTTTGCTTGACTTTGGCTGGCGGAGCCTGGTGAAACTAGTCTTGCCACTTTTCTTGTGATAGTTTCAGAATTCAGAGTTAAACCGAAAGGGATTCAAAGGAGAGGAAAAGAATAGCATAAATGAATTGAAAAGTAAAAGTGTCCCTTTCGGGGGAGAAAGAAAGGCTTATCTGGGGTGCATGCTGGCTTTAAACTGACATGACGTGCATCTTGGACTGGATGTCCGATCCTCACACACTTGTGAACCAAAACGGGACCGTGTCTCGAATGGAAACCTTGCTCGGACTTGCAGTGGTGAAATCTTCTTTTCGGTCGACAGCGCCCTTTGCGGGTTTTCGCTAGTCGGCCTATCTCTTTTCTCTTCTCACCATCGCCCGATAGTGCTCTTTGCGAGTTTTCACTAAACAGACTCTCTCATTTGGTTTCTTGTCCTCGTCACCTTATGGTGCCCGAAGGTTTTCACCGATAAGACTCTCTCATTTGTATTTTCTCTCAGCTGGGGATTGGGAACATTGCTGCTGGGGATTGGAGTCACTCTTGCTAGGGATTCCTTTAGCTAGCAACTCAGCTTTTTGCGACAATGCTGATTCTTGGTTTCCATGCCTCGCGTCGATCCGAAGGACTCATGCTTGGTTTTGGGCGAGAAGATGGTGGTCAAAGCGCAATCTTAGAATCATTTGGTGACTCTTAGTTGCTTTGTCCTAGTTTTAAGCCTGGGGGAAAGTGGAGTTTTGGTTTGGCGTGACTGAACCTCAGGTAGAGGCTGCCTACGTATCCTTTCGGAATCCAGTCAGAACGTAGTTCAGAACAAGTTTGGGGTAAAAAAGGGGAATGTGACATTTTGCCACGCTATGACCGAGCCATGAGGCGCCTACGTATCCTTTCTTGAGGAATCAGGTCAAACGTAGTTCGAAATAAGTTTGGGGTAAAAAAGGGGAATGTGACATTTTGTCACGCCATGACCGAGCCGTGTGGCGCCTACGTATCCTTTCTTAAGGAATCAGGTCAAACGTAGTTCGAAACAAGTTTGTGTTTGGGATTTTTGGTTTTTGATTTTGGTTTTTTTTTTGGTTTTTGATTTCGATTTTGAAGAGGGTGACCAAAGAAAGGTAATTGGCTTAAGGGTTTTGTAAGGGTATTTTGTGGTATTTTGTGGTGTTTTGTGGTGTTTGGGTAGTGAGCACGAGGGCCTTCATCATTTCGACGCGCAAGGGCACCATTGAGGCAAACTTCAGACGTAATACCTCTTGACAGCATCAGCATTCACCGCTGTTTCAGGGTCAATTCCTTCCATATCTCCTAGGTATAATGCTCCCTTCGGCAATATTTTCCGGATGATGTATGGACCTTTCCAGTTAGGAGCGAATTTTCCTTTCGCCTCCTGATGGAGTGGAAGAATACGCCTCAGCACCAGCTGACCCACTTCAAAGCCCCTGGGTCACACTTTCTTGTTATAAGCGCGGGCCATCCTCTGTTGGTACAACTGCCCGTGACAGACTGCCGCCATTCTCTTTTTATCGATCAATGTCAGTTGTTCTATCCGAGTCTTAACCCACTTGCTGTCTTCAATTTCTGCTTCGACAATCGTCCGAAGTGAAGGGATTTCCACTTCTGCCGGTATCATAGCTTCAGTCCCGTAGACTAGCAAGTATGGGGTTGCTCCTACTGATGTTCGTACTGTGGTACGATATCCCAACAAAGCAAAGGGTAGCTGTTCATGCCACTATCTGGAGCTCTGGATCGCCTTTCTCAAAATCTTCTTTATATTCTTGTTTGCTGCTTCTACGGCACCGTTGGCTTTGGGCCGATAAGGGGTGGAATTCCTATGCGTTATTTTGAATTGTTCGCATATTTTGTCCATCAACCGACTGTTCAGATTTGCAGCATTGTCTGTAATGATAGTTGCAGGAATACCAAAACGATAAATAAGATTTGAGTGCACGAAATCCACCACGGCCTTCTAGGTGACGGACTTGAGGGTGACAGCTTCGACCCATTTCGTGAAGTGGTCAATGGCGACCAATATGAATCTGTGCCCATTTGAAGCTTTTGGCTCGATCGGACCAATGACATCCATACCCCAAGCGATGAACGGCCATGGTGCAGACATAGGATGTAATTCACTTGGTGGTGCATGAATCAGATCTCCATGCACCTGGCATTTATGGCATTTCCGGACAAAGCTGAAGCAGTCTTTTTCCAGGTTATCCAGTAATATCCCGCTCGAAGGATCTTCTTAGCTAAGACATACCCATTCATATGAGGCCCGCACACTCCTGCGTGCACTTCCTGCATGATTCTCCCCGCTTCTTCGGCATCAACACATCTTAAGAGATTGAGATCCGGTGTTCTTTTATATAGGACTTCCCCGCTCAGAAAGAAACCACTTGCGTGTCGCCTAATGGTTCTTTTCTGATCTCCTGTAGCATTTTCAGGGTATCCTTGCGTTTTCAAGAATCTCAAGATGTTATGGTACCAAGGTTGGATGTTTGGCCCGGCTCCAATTACGTTGCAGTAGCCGTGTCTCTCCCTGACCTGTATTTCCAAGGGATCGATATGGGCGTTGCCTGGATATGGAAGCATTGAAGCTAAGGTGGCGAGTGCATCAGCTAGTTCATTGTGACACCGTGGGATGTATTTGAACTCTATCGATTTGAACCTTTTACTGAGATCTTCCACGTGCTGCCGGTAAGGGAGGAGCTTGATGTCTCGGGTTTCCCATTCACCTTGAACCTGCCGGATAATCAGATCAGAATCTCCCATGTCCTCGACTCCTTGGTTGATCGCCATGTTCATGCCTAGGATGCAAGCTTCATATTCAGCGGTGTTGTTTGTACAGAAGAAACGAACTCTCGCTGTAGCTGGGTAGTGCTGGCCATCGGGAGAGATTAAGATTGCCCCAATACCTACACCTTTGGCGTTTACAGCCCCATCGAAGAACATCTTCCACACGTGAGCGTCTTCGGAGATGGCCTCCACTGTGTTTACCTCTTCGTCTGGAAAGTAGGTGTTCAAAGGTTGATATTCC